GCAAACCCCACATGAATTGCAGCCCTTGGCCCAGAGCCTGCAACAACAGCCACTTCCATATACCAAGCCCCAACCATGTGCTTCCCATACCTTAACCAGAATCTTCACAACATCTCACTGACATCAGCATCGGTCCACCCCTTTTTACAGAGAGGGAAACTGAAGCCAGAGAGGGTAACTTGTTCAAGATGCACAGCTTGGGTCAGCACTGACTCAAAGAGTCTAGGCCCCTCCCCACCTTGCTTTCCTGGTCTCCTGCATATCACTCCCTCTCCAGAACACTGTCCTCATGGGTGCAAAGAACTGGCATCAGATGGCACTGGAGAACCCTTCCTGTATTCACTAAATGTCAGGAGTGAGGCCCAAGGGGCAAACCACACCTCTCCCAAGATGAGGGAGAAGGTGGAGGGGAGGGAAGTCAGACGGCAGAGGGTACGCCCGCTCCTCCCAGTCCTGGCTGGGTCTCCTCCACGCCCTTGCTCCTTGCTTGCTGCCAGGCTACTTGATGAGGCAGGGAAGGAGGGAGGTGGGGAGAGGCAAGAGGCCCTCTTGGAGCTGTCGAGGGGCAATTTTGTTGGGAGGGAAGATAAAGAGAAACATCAAAAGGAGTCCCAGTGTGTGTGGAGAGGAGCCCGGTGGATTAAATTCTTTTCCAGCAGGGAGAGGCGATGAGAAGGCAGATAGCCAGCAGCCGCGGGTCCCAGAGCCGAGCTGCAGCGCCTGCCCTCCCCGCACCAGGCTGGGGAGCCGCCTGGCTGCCCGTGGGGCTGCGACAGTTCGGCTTTATTTATTTATTGGAGGGAGAAGGACGCATGAAATCACTCCTCACTCCCCCAACCCCGTGCAGCAAGCTATGATTTGCTTTGCTCCTGGTGACTGAAGTCTTGCCACCCCCCGTGGAGGGCAGCACGCCAGCCCCTGGTCCAAGTTATCAGCTGCTGCCAGAAGGGGCTGCCTCCCCCTGCCTAACCACCCCGACCTTCCCCCTGCCTCCTGGAAGTGGAGGGCTGGCCTTGAGAGCGATCAGAGCAGACACTGCCCAGCAAGGACGCCCTCGCCTCACCTCTTTGCAGCTACCACAGCTAACATTGGGTCCATGATGGGCCCAACATTGTTTTCAACTATGTATTGAGAGTTTATTGCCAACTATTAGCTCACTGAGTGTTCACAACAACCCTGGCAGAGGCTGGGGTGGGATTCACACTGGCTGACAGCTGCCATATGCAGGGCCCTTCCCTCCTCCTGGGGAGCAGATTCTGCCCTGTCAGGCCACTATGCCTGCTTGGGGCTGTCCTGTGTGCTCTCGGAACCTGCACCTGACTTCTCTCTGGATGTGGCTTCCCGCAGTCATCCCCTGGTACTTCCCTCGACAGGTGACCCTGTGCCCCAAAGGAGGAAGGCCTGACCTAGCCCCCAGGTTCCTTCATCCCTCCGACTCTTGCTGGGTTCTCCCCATCCTGAGGCACTTCCCTGCTGATGGTGGCACCAGTTTGCCCCTTGGACATGCTCATCTCCCTCTGCTGTTGGTCAGGGTTGTAGCCGGGTTGGTGATCCAGTGGTGTAATGTAGTGGGGAGAAGGGTTCAGAGTTGGGAAAACAGGCTCTGTTGCTTGCTAGCTATGTGACCTTCTACTACTGGAGCCTCAGTTTCTTCATCTGTGAAGTGGGAAGAATAAAGCATAACCCATAAGATTAAGCAGCAGTGTTGTCTCTCTGCCTCACCAGGTTTTGGTGGGTGACTTTGGATTATGTTTTCTTGCCTAAGAAAGGAGTCTCCCTAATGGCAGGAGCCTTGTGTGTATTTCTCCTTTGTACCCAAATGCTAGGGGGCCCTCATCCATCCTTTGAACCATACAGTGTCCTGGAGGGGACCTTAGTTCCTTCCAGAAGAAGAGGAAGGACTAGGGTCACATGCCTGCAGGGGGGACTAGTGACTTTGCAGTGTTGTGAATCATAGTGAAGAAGGGTCAGTGACCACTCCAAAGGCACAGAGAGAGCTATGTGAGCTGGCGGTATACCCTGAGGTGGGCATGGGGCTGGAGATCTGGAGTGTGGAGATGGGCCCACGGAGTCAGTGCCACCCTCACAGAAGCTCTGTCCAAAACTTGGGCCAGCCAGAGAAGAGCCCTTTGACCAGTGATTCCAGGGCGTGAGGCCCTAAACTTCAGTGGTGGCTTTGGAGTTAGAACTGAGTCCAGATACAGGTAATACCCTTTCCAGCTGTGTGATTTTTTTTTGCACAGTTTCACCTCCTTGAGCCTCAACTTTCTCATCTGCAAAGTGGGCAGAATAAAACCTACCTGAAGGCTATTGTGGGTGAGCTGCAAAATCTTAGTAAAGTGCTTGGGATGGAGTAAATGCTCAACAAAGGAGAGTGGTTATTATTGTTCTAGAAGGGAAGGGGGGTACTCCTGGGGTGGGGCTGATTTCTAGACCTTGGTTTGGCCAGGAATGACGGTAGTAGGCAGAGAAGGACAAAGGCTTGGATGCAAGCAAGGGGCCCTAGGCCTCCCTCCCTCCTCTACTGTGCCCTGTTGTCTAATCCATGCTATTGAGCGACAGAAAATCAAAGTCCACAGAAGATGTATTCTTTATCACTGCTTTGTCCATCCTTTCACTTAATTAACTCCAGTCAGACATGCCAGAGTAAACTTGGCAGGGGGCTGGCCTCTCCTCACCCCTTCACCTCAAAATTTGCTGCTTCTCCCTCTAGTCCCCACATTTAAGGGGGACACCAAGTTGCTCTGGCCCCACCTGCCCACTGGGGGCAGCTATCCCAGGCCCACTGCACAGGCGGCCCCTGTGAAGTCAGAGTCCCGGGGATGATGGGGAGAAGCCCTCTGCTGTCACTGCTTCCACCCCCTAACTCTGCCTCAATCCCCAGGGACCGTCCAAGTTTCAGAGTCTAGGAGAACTGATGCTGGCACCTCCACAGTAATTTCTGGGTGAACAGCCACCTTCCGTTTCCTTGTGTCCCTCCCACTCAGGGGCTCAGCAAAGCCCACACCCGTCACATGGTGGGAACTCAGCTCTGCTGTGTTTTCCTTGTCTGTATTCCAGGCTTGCCTGGCTCAGAATCTCAGCTTTTCTTCCCTGGGAGTGGGCCACCACTTAGGCCTGAATCAGAGATGCTGAGTACTGTCCCTAGTTGACCAGTTGTCCCAGGTGGCCTTGGCCTGAAAGGGTTCCCAAGATGCAGCAGAGTGAAGGACAGACCTTGTTTCAGGCTCTCAGACCACCTATACCCCTTTCCCAAATTTCTGTGTGGTTTGGACCCTTGAGCATCATGAGCCTGAGGTCAGGAAAACCAGGGATCTGAGGTTTTCTCTGGATCTGCTGCTCCTCTCTGGGGCAGGCCCTTTTGTCTCTCTGGACCTAAGTTTTCTGATCTGCAAAATGGGAAGCATGGACCGGGTAATTTTCCAAGGTCCTGTTATGATAATTCACCTTCTGTGCTCTTTCAAATTGCTTTTCGCTCCTCTTGTGCTTGCTCTGTCCACTCCTTCTTTCTCTCCCCTTCCCTCCCTCTCCATTGTTTCTCTCTCCTTTTTCTATCCCTCTTCTTCCTGCTTTCCTCCCCTCCTCGCTCACCTTCTCCTTTTCATTTTCTCCCTCTCTGCTTTACCTTCTACCTCCAGCTCTTCTTCCTTCCCTCCTCCTCCTCGGTTCCTCTCTCCAGCAGATCCCACCCTCTTCTCCCCAGGTTATCTGTTGAATTCCACACACGCCTGCACAGACGGGATCAATCCGAGGCTGCCTTGCCTTCAGCTTATCTCTGCTCCAAATGATTGATTTTCCCTCTTTAAGAGTAATTTGCTGGTGAATTCCATGTATTGCAAAAACCCCTGTGAAATCTAATTCAATCCGATTGGCAGCTGGCACTTTGGAGAAAGAATACTAGAGAGCTGTCAGTTCCATTGCTAGCAGATGTGTGTATTATTCGTCTACAGAAGAGGGCGCGAGGTGGGCAGGTGCTCCTCACCTGCACATATACACCTCTCTCCCTGTCTCCAGAGGGATCTGGTCTGTCACTCCTACAGCCAGTCCCAGCACTTCTGGGAGATGAATTATACACAGTGTGCACTGGGTCCTTGCATTAAAGTAAATGAGGGACAGACACTTTCAAGTTCTGTTTTCCTAATTTGCAGCCCATTACCCTAGTGCACTATTATGGGGATCTCACACTTCTGAAGCCTAGCTACCCCTGATGGTCTCTTTCTTTGCCCCTGTCCCCACCCCTCCTGTCCCTGGGCACTGAGTCCCAACTCCAGTGACCCAGCAAAGCCCATGTCACAGAGTGGGAGCTCAGCTCTGCCGTTTCTTTCTCTTCTGTGTTCCAGGCTTGTCTGGTTCAGAGCCTTGGGGTGGGTCCCCTCTCAAGCCTGTATCAGAGATGATGGGCCCTGCCCCTCGTTGACCAGCTGTCCCAGTCTGTCTGGGACTAAGAGTGTTCCCAGGGTGCTGGTTTAAAGTGCTATAACCTTGGCAATCTCAGAAAAATGAGGACAATAGGTTCCCCACTCTATGAGGAGAGTCTGAGAGCCCAGCAGGGGCCAGCTGGCACCACTGCTCAGATGCAGCATCCACTGGGTGTGGAAAACAAGGAGTCTAAGCATCTAGTTCTAACCAGACTGGCCCTGAGTCCCGCAGGTGCTCCACAAAGTCTGGGCTCACTTTAGAGGCTCAAGCCCCCAAGCGGCTCACACCAGGAGCTGGTCCTTACCGACGAGGATGGGTGCACTGCTGACTAGCTGCCCTCGCTCAGCCCTGGTGTCCGTGGATCACAGGTGCCACTGGTGTCCACTGGATGCAGCAAAGCTAACTGTGCCAGCCCCAGAGACAGAACCAGCCACTCTGACCTCTATGTCCCAGGCAAATGGTCATTTCTGGTGGGATCCGAATCTTTATTTAGGCTGCCCTGGACCTCTAGGGGCCTCAGCAATCAGCCCAGTGGGCACTTACTGAAACAAACTGGCTTCAGGGGGTACTGGTCGGGAGGACTAGGTGCCTGTGGGTGTGGCCGAACAGCAAGCTTTACGTGGAAGGGACCTTTCCAGGCCCACACACACAGGGGACGGCTGTCCAGGCCGGAGGTACTGGATTGGTGCCTTGAATGTAAAGGGGAGAGGGACCAAGTGAGATTCATGACACCTGAGCTCTTAATTCCAGAACAATATGCTCCACCCGACAAGATCCCAGGGAATCCAGGCCATGCCCTGCGCCCCCCATCCTTTCCTCACTCCCTCCCTCCTGCACGGGACCCTGTTTGAAAGCACCCGCCCTCAGTGGAAAGCTTGAAGAGTCCATGTGGCCCAGCCTGCCAGCATGGCAGCCACTTTTCTAATAATAAGGTCTGCTGTTCTGATCAGAGTCTGACAACTTGGACCTCACTCGCATACCTGGCTTTAATTCCCTTTCCACTCTACCAGCAAACTCAGCACCAGAGTTTTGGCTGGGGTTGGGGCAGTGCGCTAAAGGGTAAGTGTACCCAGAGGTGCAGGGAGAACAGGCCAAAATGCAGGATAAAAGGGTGTGCATCCCAGTCTGCCCCAAGGCCAGAATCGCCCTGCCCCACCTCAGGGCACCTTCTGCAGAAGGTCATGTGGCCTCCTGGGCAGGGCGGCAGCAGGAGGAGGATGAGCCTCACTGGAGCTGGCAGAGGGGGGCTGTCCTCAGCTCCAGAGCAGGGAGGGGCAGGGTGTAGAGCTGGCAGTGGGCCTTGCACTGAGCAGCTGCCTGGTTCTGTTGATTTACCATGCTAAAACTATTTCCCTGTTCCCACAGAGAGAGAAATGTGGCAAGGCAAAGAAATCTAAACGCCTTATGGAAATCAGGAGGGGGACTCTGCCTGCTGCTAATCACACCACTTTATATTCCTCTGCTTCTCCAATAGTCAGCCCACCTTCAGCATGCCTCTAGGTGGCAGGGAGGGGGGCTGAGAGGGATCCCATTGCCTCAAGAGGCTTGGGGTGGGGTGCGGTGGGTAGAACTCAAGACTGTTTAGAGGCCATGACCCTGGGTGTCTTGGGAGCTGGAAGGGAGTGGGTGAATTCATCTTCCTGCTCTGAGCCCTCTGCCCAGGTGGACTGCCCAGCCTTGGGGCCCCTTCCCTCAGAACACAGGCACCATAAGTGCCCTATGGGAAGGGTCTTGGACTGGAACAGGACACTGGGCTCTAGGCAGATGGGTGACCATGCCTGATAACAGTGTTACTCAACTTCCCCGGGGCATCCTGAAGTTAAACCCAGGCACAGCTCAGGTTTGCAAAGAGCACTGTCTATATGACCCATGCCATGCCTTTCCAGGCACACAGGTATTGGACACATAGTGATTGTGGTTAAACAGACAAAGGCAATATAGGCATGAGTGAATGAACTGCATGGTGTATCTGTGAATATATAGTGTAAGGAAAAAAATCTGAAAATTGAGTCTCCTAACACAGAGACTCAGAGAGAGAGCAGGTGAGGGTGATGAAGGGACTTCAGATAAAGAACTAAGTTCAGGGAAAGATGAAACCAGGAGCCTGGCCAAGCCCAGTGAAGTGGTGGCAGATGGCGGCAGCTGCCACATTTTCTTCCATCTAGCCTCTGCCCTGGCCTGCCCTCTGAGCTTCTGCCACTTCCATCCCTGGGATTCTAAACCCGAGCCTCACTCCAGCCCTCACCTTTTGCACAGATCCCACATCTAGCCCTCACCCATCAGTGCTATCTGCCATCACCCTTGGTCTCTAACCTCTTTCTCCTTCTGTCCAGATTAACCAACCTAAAGATGAATCAGCTCTGAGGGTATCACTTGCATTCAAGAACCGTCGATGGCTCCCACCTGCCTACAGAATCAGGTTCAGACTCACTGTGGCACTCATGGCCCTCCAGCCTACCTTTCTCGCTTTATAGGAAGGTGGTATTTCATATGTGTTGAATTAAATGACAGTGGCGGGAAGGATGGTGCTGAGTGTAAAAGTCCACCAGTAGTGTTATTTACGTTGGTGCTTTTCACATCATCTTTTTTGGGAGGATGAAGGTGGAAAAGTCTTCAATGATATAAATTTTTATAAATTGTATAATGAACATGCAGTGGCATTGACATCTGGGGGCACAGAGTTCTATAAACTTTCGAATGTATAGCTTGGCCTTCCCCCATCACAGCCAGGCCAGGGACGCCCGCCCTGCCCCAAACCCCTGGTGCTCCTTCTGTCCGGTCACCCTCTCCTACCCAGAACCCCTGGGAATCAGTGATGGGGTCTCTACCACTAGGGTTTTGCCTTGTGAGAATGTCATAGAATCACTTGGAAGCAGCCTTTGAGGCTGGCTGCTTTTGCTCATCAGAATGCCTTGGGAGATCCACCCGACTCTCACTTGACCTCGGTAGCCTGTGTATTTAAGCACACTCCTGTTCCTGTAGGAGGAGTTAGCATATCTGCCCGGACTACGGAGCTAGGCGAGGAAGCCCTGCATCCCTCTAAGAGGCGGGCCATCCCGGGGTACTGGGGAGAGCTTTGAAGGTGGACTGGAGAAGATGGTTAAGAGGATTAAAAAGAAAAAACCAAAGCCTGGTGGGCTTGCTCAGTAAATGTTAGTGGATCTGGGCATTCCCTAATGAGGGTAATTAAGAGTCCTTATGCTGAAAACAGAAAAGTAAACACAGATACACATGCTAATCGGGGACTACTAGTAGATGCTCAGGCAGCCGCCCCCTCCCTCTCCACTCCACTGCCTCCATCGTTCTCCCGTCATTCCGTGCTCCCTCTGGGTCCTCCTCCTCCCTCAGGGAGGTTCCTTCTCAGTGTCTCTGCCGGTTCATCCTCATCTCCCCTAACTCTGAGGTGCCCTCCGGCTGCTTGGCCCCCAACCCTGCTCTCTAGTCTATCTGTACCCCTTTCCTGGGCAGACCCATGACTTTAACTATGATTCAGACTCTGGCAACGCTCCTGTTTCCTACTGGGCTTCCTGGCACTTCTATTTGAATGTTTAACAAGCAGGTCAAACCTAATGTGTTGAAGGTTAACCTACAGCTTCTGCCTTCTCCTTACCAAAGCTACTGCTTTGCCATCTCAGGAAGTAAGACTCCAGGTTCCTAACTGCTCAAAGAGCTCCTGCAGTCATTCTCAGTTCAGTTCAGTGGCTCAGTCGTGTCCACCTCTTTACAACCCCATGGACTGCAGCACGCCAGGCCTCCCTGTCCATCACCAACTCCCGGAGCTTATTCAAACTCATGTCCATTGAGTCGGTGATGCCATCCAACCATCTCATCCTTTGTCGCCCCCTTCTCCTCCCACCTTCAATCTTTCCCAGCATCAGGATCTTTTCAAATGAGTCAGTTCTTTGCATCAGGTGGCCAAAGTATTGGAGTTTCAGCTTCAACATCAGTCCTTCCAATGAACATCCAGGATTGATTTCCTTTAGGATGGACTGGCTGGATCTCCTTGCAGTCCAAGAGAGTCTCAAGAGTCTTCTCCAACACCACTGTTTAAAAGCATCAATTCTTCAGTGCTCAGCTTTCTTTGTAGTCCAGTGACCCTCACTCCCTCCTCCACCCCAGCAAACCCTCTCCCTTCAAAACAGGCCCTGGAGCTGAACACTCCCTACCCATGCACACATCTTACTGCCCTTCCCTCCTAGGAATGGCCCTGCTCTGCTTTGTCTATGAACCCAGGCAGCCAGCACATTCTTACAGTTTTTTAATTGAGATACAGTTCATCACTTTAGTCATTTTAATGTGTGCAGTTCAGTGGTTTTGAGTATAATTCGCGATACTGTACAACTACCACCTATAGTTCTGAAATATTTTCACCACCCCAAAAGGAAGCCCTGTATAAGCAATCCCTCTTCATTTCCTTGCCTTCAGCCCCTGCGACCACTAGTGTGCCTTTTGTCCCTACGGCCTTGCCTATTCTAGTCACTTCATGGAAATGGAATCACCCACAAAGCGACTTTTTGCATCTGGCTTCTTCCACCTAGCATCCTGTTTTCTAAGTTCTGTGTTACATTGTGGATGTAACATTACTATAAAAGCTCTACAATATTTCACTGTATACCACATTTGTTTGTCCACTCATCAGGTGCTGGGCACTTGGGTTGTTTTCAGAGTCTGTCCTCTTGAAAAACTTTAGTCAGATCAAGTCTCCCATTTTCTGCTCACGGCCTTCCTGCTGAGCCCTGACAAGAGCCAGACCTGTCCCCCTCCTCCCCTACCCACGGGCCTCCTCAACCTGCAGCCACACTCCTGCTCCCGCAGCCACCGCGCCAGCTGCTCCCTCTGCTGGGAATGCTCCTCCTCCAAACATCCACAAAGCTCGCCCCCACTTCACTGAGGCCTCTCCACAAACATCGTCCTATTGGACAGACTTCCTCTGACCCCTTCTCCTCCCCGGCACTCCCTCAGGCCCCTCACTCTGCTGTCTTTTTCTCCATGGCTCCTGTCACCACTTGACATATAATAATATAGATCGATTTGTTTCTTTAGTATTCTACTGCCTGAGAGCTGGACTTCGGCTGTGTGCTCACTTATGAACAGGGCCTAGAAAAGCGCGTGGGACGCAGTAGGTGTTCAACAAATACTTGCTGAATAAATGAACAAATGACCAATTCCTGCCTTCCACTCAAAGCGGAAGCTGCTCTAGGGCACCCCTCTCCTGCCCTTGGCCTGGGTGCCCACTGCACAGCAAGCTTCGCTAGCCATTGTGTGTGTTGGCCCTGCTCTGTGACCCCATGTGGAAGGTTCCTCTCTGAGCCCATCGAGCTCATGTAAGAAGAGCAGAGTAACATCTGCCTGCTGACCCCAGGCTCTGGGCCCTCATCAGGACGAAAGAGAGGAAACATGTTCCGCTCTGTGCCAGAATATCTTTCCAACCTGGGACATGTGCATTTGGCAACACTCATCTCAAAAACTTCTCTCACTTCCAATTCCTTTTTCAAATTCACTGGGGAAACTAAGGCCTAGAGAGGAAGGAGGAAATGTCCTCCGTAGGCCTTCATGGACAATGACGATACAGCCACGAAGCCCTGCCTGGCATTGAAGGCCTCCTACCCTCCCCCACCCTGCTCCGGCACCATTCTCCCCTCTCAGGGGACAGAGGAGAGCAGGGGAGGAGGCTCCCTGCCTCACCGCA